GTCCCTCCGGGAACCCAGAGAGATATTTTTAATTTTTGTTCTATATTCCCCTGCAGTGCTTTGCCTCGCAGCCTAAGCAAGAACTTAGATCACCATCACCAGTCAGAGGTGGCTCTGGGTGGTTCTGGGTGGCCCTTCTCTGCTTGGTCCAGGGGTGGAAGTCCCTTCTTTTAGGTTGGGAGAAGGGTTTTGGGAACACCCTGGATGGAATATTGACCTCTTCTTGAGTCTCTTGGTCCTTCATAGCTAACCTATGATAATGTACCTGAATAGATTTTGTGCCAAATTATCTATCTGTTGTTTCACAAAATTGATAAGCCTGTTTAAGGCCCAGGGACCAAAAGAAATAGCAAAAATAACTCAATTAATGGTCCCAAAATGGAAGGAAGTAGGGTTGACAACCATGGAGAGGTTGAAAACCAATACTTGTACCATGCTTCCCCTCTTTCTCTCTCTCTCTCTCTCTGTCTCTCTCTGTCTCTCTGTCTCTGTCTCTCTCTCTCTCTCTCCCCCCCGTGTGTGTGTGTGTGTGTGTGTGTGTGTGTGTGTGTGTGTGTGTATGTGTGTGTGTATGTGTGTGTGTCTTTACTCAAGGCCTTCATGCTCTCTTTAACCATCCCTGTCTTGTCTATGTAAAAGCAACATTCTTCTTTAAGAGCTGTACACAGCCCTCCCTGGTATAAAAAGAGTAAATCAAGTCCTCTATGATTCTGGAGGACGACTTCAGCTAAGGAGGAGAGGGAATCTGAGAGGTCATCGATGCCTTGTTGAAGACACTGGGCATCTCTGTCAATGGTGACACTGAGTTCTTGATACCTAGATTTGGAAAGAACATTTGAGGAAATACCAGTCCCCATGCCTACTGCACCAAGGCCCAGGAGGACTGTAATGGTGGCGGCAGTTAGGGACTCTCTTCGCTGGAAAACAAGTGAAGGGGAGAAATCAGTGGACTGATCCCACAAATGAAAAAATTCTTCTGAAGGATAATAAACCAATAGAGGAAACAACTGTACAAGAATGCAAAAATCAGAATTCTTAGCTGAAAAGGTGGTGGCTGAGAGGCAGACGGTGAGACCATCAAGGCAAACCCACCAGGTATCATTTGTTGGAGCTAAATACTGGCTACTAATATCAGGTGCAAGGGTAACATTACAAAGGTGGACACACTGTGAAGTGGGTGTATTAGAAGTCACACGGAGGCCCAATCCCAAGACCTGAGAGAGGGACAAATCATTCCACTCTCCATATTGCCAGTGGCAATGATTGGAGTTATTCGTTATTTGTAGGTGTAAAACTGCCAGAAACAACGATGCCTTCATAGAAAGGTGGCTGAGAATGATAACACAGCCAGCAATCATCAACAAGATTAGGGGAGGTGGCATTAAGTGTAAGGAAGGTCTGATTCACTAAGGTAAGAATAAAATTCTCAGTCTGAGCAAAGTGGGTAGTATCGGCTATGGGAGAATCAGCTTTGGGAGCAGGGGAAGTAACTGAAGTAAATATGTGAGCAGTTTTTGTAAAAGATAGAGGGTCAGGTTTTTTGTGTGGCTATGCCTGGGGGACCAGAACCTGGTTGGGACCAATAGGGACTGGCGAGTCTACATGAACTAGTTCTTTGAGGAGCTTAATGGTAAAAGTAAGGCCAGTATCTGTGCCTGATTGATAAAGATGGGGACCCCATGAGACTCCCCATGCCCAATCTTGGGATTTAGCATGGTCTGTAAATGTAATGGACAGAGGGAGGCACCAACCTAAGGTGACACAGTTAGAATTTTTAGTTAGGATTGGCATCTAAAGAGTTTTGAGGGCGTGAGAAATTTCATGAGACAGTAATATAATCCCATGAGGAGGTAGGATTCCAATAGACCATCCCAGAGGTCTCACAACCCCAACTGGCACAGTAAAAGTCGGTTTTGCCACCGCACTTATGATGGACAGAGCAGCTACAATGGAGGCCTGGGCAAATATAAAAATCTATATCTTGAAGTAAGATTCGTCTGATGGAATTATCACAGCCAGGGCTAACTGGGTGATGAACAAAAACCCAAACATGTTGAGGATTAATAATCTGAGTGTTGGGCATATTATCCTCTGGGGCTTTATATAGGTCTAGCTGATGTTGAAGACCCCAAGGGGCCGCTGCTCCCTGTGCTAATTTACAAAGATCAGGAGTGAGGCATGCTGGCCACCAGATGCTGGTAGAAGTTTTGGAAGTGGCCCAGACAATGTCATCTCTCTCTGAGAGGGCTGTCCAAGTATAATTCCAAGGGATGTGTCTATTAGGGGCTTTTGGCAGAGGCAGTTAAAGGTTGATGGTCATTCCAGTCAGCCACAGGATCATGAGTATCCTTGCCTGGAGCAGCGTTTGGAAAAGAAATGAGATTTGTCTCAGGAGGAGACAGTTGTTCCATTCTGGACACAGGTGGGTTAACAGTTTTTACTAGCCTCTCTGGTATCTATCTTGGGCCAGCATTCTTTTTGTCATAGATACAGGCAGACCCTCGTCCCCAGATAAGGACAGGATCTGGTCCTTTCCATTGTCCAGTGAGGGGATCCTTCCATGGCACTAATGCATAAGAATCCTGTTATTTAGGATGCCACAAGCAGTCAGCTGCTGATCTGCCTTCATTGTCCAGGGACAAGAAGTTAAGGACAAAGAGAGCATGATTGAGCCTGTTTTGAGGAGTCAAGGGGAAGTAAGCTTCTGTAACTTCAGTCAGGTGCTGATGCATATTTTTCAAAGTCTGATGGGCTAGTTCTACAATGCCTTGGCCTTGAAGACTATAGGGAATACCTGTAACATGTTTGATGTCAAACTGGGAACAAAACTGTTAGAACTTAGTTCCTGTATAACAAGAGCCATTGTCTGTTTTAATGATCTGTGGTTTTTTTATGGCAGCCATACACTGTAGGGTATGTATTATCACATCATGCAATGCTTCTCCAGAAAGTAGAGACACATGTATAAATCCACAATAGGTATCAACTGTAACATGCACATATTTTAACTTTCCAAAAGAAGGAAAATGGGTAACATCCATATGCCATCGTTCATTAGGGATGAGTCCACTAGGGTTAACTCCCAGGTGAGGGACTGGCAACAGAGTGGCACATGACCACAGGACTTATCAATTCCTTGTGCTTGCTCTCTAGAAATCTTAAACATCTGGCACAAGGTAGAGGCATTCAAATAATATAAAGCATGAGCCCATTTAAGCAAATCTATGGAATCAAGTAGGGCAAGGAATGCTGCACAAGTGGCCTCATCGGCCAGGGCATTTCCATGCAATAGAGGACCATCCAGGCCAGAATGGGCTCTTAAGTGTCCCACAAAAAATGGCACTGTCCTTTTGATAATTAGGGATTGAATTTCCACAAATAATTTGGAAGTAGTAGAAGCAGGCTTAATATATGGGACTATCTCTAAGACAGGAATAGATTGGGCCATGTAGGCACTGTCAGTATATAAATTAAATGGGGTCATTGGTAATGCTTTAAAAACCTGAAGGACTGCAAGCAATTCTACCAGCTGGGCAGAGGAATATGGGGACTGCACTGAAATAACATGATCTTGTAAAACATAGGCAGCTTTGCCTGTTGAGGAACCATCTGCAAACACCAAGGTGCCCTCAAGGAGTGGAGTCTTGGAGGTGACCTTGGGGAAAGTCAAGGAATGCATCGTTACAAATTGTATAAGGGGGTCATTTGGATAATGATTGTCTATGGTGCCTGCAAAGGAGGCGCAGGCTATGGCCCAATCATCACTAGATTAAAGGAGCCACTCCACTTGATCTGAGGTATAAGGGAAAATAATAACATCAGGATCCTTACCAAAATATTGTCTGGACAGTTTTCTTCCTTTAACAATTAGGGCAGCAGACAAGGAATAATAGGTTGCCAAAACCTTGCTTGAACTTGAGGGGAGATATACCCATAACATAGGACATCCCTTCTTTGCAGGAGTCTGGGACTGCTGCCAAAAGATGTCTGCCAGAGTATGTGTTGTAACACAAACAATATAATAAAGTGGTACAGTGTAATGAATTTGAAATGAGGTTTGGGAAGATATGGCTTGACTTATTTGCTGCAAGGCTGAAATGGTTTGGGGTGTAAGGGTTCAAGGGGACAGAGGATGGGAGTCTCCTGGGAGGAGTTCATTGAGGGGAACTAGAACCTCGGGAGGAATATTTAAATAGGAGCAAACAAACTGGAGATTCCTGAGCAACTGTTGAAAATCTTGTAAAGTCAGAAGGGAAGAAAGCTGAAGCTCAGTCTTTGGGGTATGGACCTGATCCCAACTCGAGTTCATACCCTAGATAGGAATAAGGATCTTTCATCTGATTTTTTTCAGGGACAATTTTAAGACCCTGTGAACTTAGTGCCTCTTGAAGTTGTTGAAAATATGAGAGGGCTTGCTGTCTATTAGGGGCAGCCAGTAAGATGTCATCCATGTAATGAAGAATGTATGTTTGTCGCCAGGCATTTCTGACAGGTTGGATTACATGTACTATACACTTGTGGGCTAGGGTAGAGCTATTTGTCATGCCCTGGGGGAAGACTCACCAGTGGAAGTGATCCATGGGCCCCTGGAAATTAATTTGAGGAATGCTAAATGCAAAATGATGACAATCATCTGGATAAAGAGATATGGTGAAAAAGCAATCTTTTAAATCAATAGCAACTTTTAAAGGTCTGCTGGGATGGCAGCAGGAGATGGAAGACCAGGCTGCAGGGCTCCCATAGGAATCATCACTCTGTTAACTGCACAGAGATCTTGTAGGTGTCTCCACATGCTGGACTTTTCTTAATAACAAAAATCGGGGTATTCCAAGGGGAGGAAGATGGCTCAATGTGACCAGCTGCTAACTGTTCCTGCACCAACTGTCTTACAACAGCCAACTTCTCTTGTGTTAACAACCACTGATCAACCCAGACAGGGGTTGTGTCTTTCCAGGAAATTTTCTCTGCATGAGTCTGGGGAGCAGGGATGTCCATAGCTGTTAAGGAAAAAGCTGAGGCTGGGATCCCAAGCCTTGCCAGTCAGGTCTCTGTGTCACAACCAGAGGTTCTTTTATGACTTGTGCCTGTTTTCCTAATCCTTGGCCTGGCAGGAATCCCTGAGCCAACATTTGTCTTGTCATCACGTCATTAGGGCTGCACATGAAAATATTCATTTGGGAGAGAATATCTCTCCCCCAGAGATTGACTGGTAAATCAGTGATCACGTAGTAGACTACGGTGCCTGAATTTCCTTCTTGATCTATACACTTATGGGTCTGAGCACTGACTTGAGGGTTTTTGGAATGTCCAATCCCCTGTAAGTGGGTGGCTGAATTGGTCAGCAGCCAGGCAGCCAGCCAAAACCTGTCAGAGATGACAGTGGCGTCAGCACCTGAGTCTAAGAGCCCTTGAAATGTTCTTCCATTTAGACTCAAAGTAAGCATGGAGCGAAAGGAAGTAATTTGGGGGGCTCAAAAGGCCTCTGCTATTTCTCTCTCGCCAGGGGCCCTGGTGTCTTTAAGGTAGGGATTTGTAGTAGAAACCTTGGGAAAAAGCAACAACTGGGCAATGGTCTATTGTGCTGATATAAACACTGGGACAGTTATAGTACTTGCAAGAATCTGAATTTCCCCCTGGTGGTCGGGGTCTATATAACTCCAAGTGTAATCTGGAGTCCCTTTAAGGAAAGTGAGGCTCTTTCCAGGACTATGCCAAAAGTATTTGGGGGTAGGGGGCCATGTATACCAGTAGGCACAGCCTGAAGGCCCTCCTCCAGGGTCAGTACTATGCTGGAGGTGGCACAGAGGTCCAATCCTGGGCTGTTCTTTGTGGCTCTCCAGAGCTGGGCAACGGACTGTTGGGTGGCGGATTGTTGGGCAATGGACTGAGTGTGTGATGGGGAATCCATTGAGGAACAAACCCTATTACCCTGGGGCCTGTAGTGGGGTTGGGAGCCGAAGGATGCCCCTTCTGGAAGTTTCCCAAAAACCGTGGCGGTAAGGGGCACCCCTGACTGTCTGTTCTGGATTTACAGTCTCTGGCACAATGTCATCCCTTTCGGCAGTGGGTGCACAGAGCAGCCGGTGATGCCTGTGCTGGAGGGTTGTTTCTCTGGCCCTCAATGGGAGGTCCCCGAATCTGACGGAGATGGGGACACTCTTGCAAAAAATGGCCACGCTGTTTACAGCGAAAACAAGTCTTTTGGGAGCTATTTAAGCCCACCCTCTGAAGGGCGGCACCGATCATCAAGCCTATAGTGGGGCTTGTTCCAGCCCCTGCACAGAGGCGAACATACTCTGCCAGTGAATTAGAATGGTGGTGTTTAAGAACATCTTGGTAAGTAGGATTGGCATTTTCAAAGACAAGCTGTTTTATAAAGGGATTTTGAGGCTCTTGCACCCTAAACAGGCACTCAACAGTCTCCATAAGGTGGCTAATGAAACAATTATAAGATTTGTCCACCCCCTGTAGCACCTCAACCAATACAAAAATAATTGAAATGATCCCTTGTATCCTATCAGATCACCATGGACTAAGGCTGGTCTACAATAATACCAAAAACAGCAGAAAGCCCACATACAAGTGGAATCTGAACAACACTCTATTCATTGATGACTTAGTCATGGAAGAAAGAAAGAAAGAAATTAAAGATTTTTTTAATTTAATGAAAATGAGGACACATCATACCAAAACTTTTGGGACTCCATGAAAGCAGTGCTAAGAGGAAAACTCATAGCTTTAAGTGCCTACAAAAAGAAACTGGAGAAAGCATACACTAACAACTTGACAGCACACCTGAAAGTGCTAGAAAAAAATGAAGCAAATACACCCAAGAGTAGTAGATGGCAGGAAATAATCAAACTCAGGCCTGAAATCAACCAAGTAGAAATAAAAAGAACTATACAAAATATCAACAAAACCAGGAGTTGTTTCCTTGAGAAAATAAACAAGATAGATAAACACTTAGCCAGACTAACCAGAGGGCACAGAGACAGTATCCAAATTAATAAAATCAGAATTGAAAAGGAAGACATAATAGCAGAAACTGAGGAACTTCAAAAAATCATCAGATCCTACTACAAAAGCCTATACTCAACAAAACTGGAAAATCTGGATGAAATGGACAATTTCCTAGACAGATACCAAACACCAAAGTTAAATCATGAGCAGATAAACTATCTAAACAGTCCCATAACCCCTAAATAAATGATAGCAGTCATTAACAGTCTCCCCAGGACCAGATGGTTTTAGTGCAGAAATCTATCAGACTTTCCAAGAAGATCTAATACCAATTCTCTTCAAACTATTCCACAAAATAGAAACAGAAGGAGCACTACCCAACTCGTTCTATGAAGCCACAATTACACTCATACCTAAACCACACAAAGACAGAACAATGAAAGAAAACTCCAGACCAATCTTCCTTATGAATATCAACACAAAAATACTCAATAAAATTTTTGCAAACCAAATCCAAGAACACATCAAAACAATCATTCATCATAAACAAGTAGGCTTTATCCCAGGAATGCAGGGATGGTTCAATATTCGGAAATCCATCAATGTAATCCACTATATAAACAAACTCAAAGGAAAAAAAACACATGATCACCTCACTAGATGCAGAGAAAGCATTTGACAAAATTCAACATCCCTTCATGGTAAAAGTTTTGGAAATATCAGTAATCAAGGCCCATATCTAAACATAGTAAAGGCAATTTACAGCAAACCAGTAGCCAACATCAAGCTAAATAGAGAGAAACTTGAAGCAATCCCACTAATATCAGGACAAGACAAGGCTGCCCACTCTCTCCCTACCTGTTCAATAGAGTTAGTTCTGTTTTTTTTTGTTTGTTTTGTTTTTTTTTTCTGTGATAAAATACCCCGATAAAAATCAACTTCAACGAGGAAGGGTCTATTTTGAAAGGAAAATTTTCCCCAAAACAGGGTCCTAGAATCTGGCCCAAGGTTAAAAAAATCCACTACTCATGGAATTTCTGGAAAGCAGCTAACCCCTCTCTGCAGACTCTGGAACCCAGAAGTGGCAAAAATGGGCAGTTAAAATTTTCTCCCACCCAATAGTTTCAAAAAGCAGTGTATGCCAAAAAACAGTTTCTAGGTCAGCCATACCTATACCACATCTTCATATTCTTAACTACAAAAATCAAATTGCTTTTCTGCGTGGGGACTTTTTTGAATACAGAAAAAGGCAGAGAAGTCATTGCAGTAGAAAGCTAGCTGGTCCCCTTGTGTTGATTCTAAGGAAACAGTAACAATAAACAGGAAAGGAGCAAAGTTAATATAGTGTTTTGAATGAGAATGAGAATCCTTCCATTGCTGGGGGGATTGCAAACTTGTACAACTATTCTGGAAATCAATCTTATTACAAATATTATTACAATCTTATTACAAATATCAATATTACAAATAGTTCTACCCAAAGACACAGTTATTCAGCTCCTGGGCATATATTCAAAAGATGCCCCACCATATCACAAGGACATGAGCTCCATTATGTTTATAGCAGCTTTTTTCATAATAGCCAGAAACTAGAAACAACTCAAATGTCCCTCAACCAAAGAATGGATACAGAAAATGTGGTTCATTTACACAATGGTATATTATTGAGCTACTAAAAACAGGACATCATGAATTTTTCAGGGAGATAGATAGAACTAGAAAATATCATCCTGAGTGAGGTGACACAGACCCAAAAGGATGTGTACTCACTGATAAGTGGAAATTAGCCATAAAGTACAGATCCCCACAGTACACTTTATAGACTCAAAGAAACTAAACAAGAAAGAAGACGGAAGCAAGAATTCTTGAATCTCACTCAGAAGGTGAGATAAAATAGTTATAGTATGTAGAGGGAGAAAGGGAATTGAGTGGGAGAGGGGATGTTGAGGGAAATAGGGGGGTCAGGATCAGGTGTGGGAATAGACAAGAGAAAGGGTCAGAGGACCAGGAGAATGGATGGAAATCTGCAACTGAGGAGGATGGAGGCTTGTGTGAGGCTTTATAAAGTGTCAATGACCTGGGATGAGGGAGGCTCCTAGGAGTCAATGGGGGTAACGTTAGTTGAGATGCATAGCAGGGGGATATGGAACCTTAAGAGACCACCTCCTGTAGCCAGTCAGGAACCCCAGCAGTGGGATAAGGACACAACATACCTACAAAACTTTCAACCCAATATTTGTCCTGTCAAAAAGAAATGCACAGACAAAGATGGAGCAGAAACTAAGGGAATGGCCAACCAATAACTGGCCTAACTTGAAATCCATCTCATGGGCAAGTACAAATCCCTGACACTATTAATGATACTCTGTGATGCTTGTAAAAAAGAGCCTAGAATAACAGACTCCATGAAGCAGCTGGCTAAAACACATGCAGAGATCCACAGTCAAATATTGGACAGAGCTTGGGAACACTTATGGAAGTGATGGGGGAAGGACTAAAGGCTCTTGTTATGCAAGGTGGAGTCTATCCTGCTACTTTGGCCTCTTCACCCTGTAAGGGATAGGAACTCCATAGGAAGATGAACAGAGTCAACTAACCTGGACAGTTGGGGGCTCACTGAGACTGAATAACCAACCAAAGATTTGGTTCTTCCATCAATTGGCAGGGCACTCTCCCTAAAGCTGTTACCTGTTACCTCTCTGTGGAATCTGTTTCCCAAGTCAGCTGCCTTGTCTGGCCTCAATGGGAGAGGATGGACCTAACTTTGCAGAAACCTGATATGCCAGTATGAGAGAATAACCATAGGGGGGCCCATCCTCTCAAAGGAGAAAGGGAGAAGGGATGGGGAAGGACTCACAGGGGGGAGGGGCAGTTGAGGGTAGTGATCTGGATGTAAAATGATTGAATAAATAAATTAAAGGAGAAAAAAATAAAATTAGTTACATATAAATTTTTTTAAAAAGGCACAGGCTAACCAAATGGATGTAAAAACAGCACCCATCATGCAGCCACATGAAAAACACAACTCAACAACAAAGATCGACATTACCTTAGAGTAAAGGGCTGGAAAAAATTTTTTTTCCAAGCAAACAGCCCCAAGAAGCAAGCTAGAGTAGCCATATTCTAATATCTAACAAAATATAGTTTCAATCAAAATTAGTCAAAAGAAATGAGGAGGGACACTTCATTCTCATCAAAGGAAAAATCCACCAAGATGATGATAGATTTTGAACATATATGCCCCAAATGTAAGGATATCCACACTCACACACACAAAAAAAAATTTACAAAAGTTTAAATTGTACTTGCACATTGAAACCTACACATTAATAGACCTCAACACCCAAATCTTACCAATGGACAAGTCATTGAAACAGAAACTAAACAGAAAAATAGTGAAATTAAGAGACATTATGAATCAAACGGACCTAACAGATACCTACAGAACATTTCACCCAAACACAAAGGAACATAGCCTTTGCTC